ACATGGGCCTAAAGTTTTGTCTTAAATTTGATCGTAACTGTTCGCATCACACGCCTTTTCTCATGATCGCGACGTCGACTTGGCAAAAAAAGCCAAAATCGTGTCGGTCATTTCTATTGGCTAATCATGACGTAATATCATGTACCGTATCTTTAGCAATTGGAAGTTCCGATACGGTACCGTATCTCTAGCCACGGTGTAAAAAAAAAATGCCTTGTGTTTGAAAAGGGATTCCCAGTTATAAGCCCACCCTCCCCAAAAGTAAAATAAATTAAAAAAAATAAAACAAAATTGGCCCAATTTTGTGTTCAAAGTGGGTGAGCTTATACCAGAGTTAACTATGTTGGGTTATTCACCTATCGTTAAAAATTAATTAAGAATGGTTTTTATTTTCTATTTGTAACAGGACATCAACTGAGATGAGCTTTTTGAATTTGACTTAGATGACTCAGATAAATTCCTTAATATATGCATCTGGAATCGTGTCAAAGGTCAGCTTGGTGAACAAGACATCCCAATTGGTTATGCCAGTGTGCCGCTGATGAATGTAGCCCTCCAGTGCTTAACAACATTATCAGGCGAGCACCAGGAAAACAAGTTGTTTCCCCCTCAACAGAAAGCTGGAGCAAGGTATACAGAAACTCGTACTCTGAAATCCCTCTAAACCCCTCTAAATCAAGACCACTTTTTTAAAGAACCAAATAACAATCATCAATCCTTTAACACGAAGCTAACCCTCTAAGCTGGAGGCTAAACCCGGATTGCTATAAAACGGTCTTAACTGGTAGTCTTATACTTCTCGAATAAAGCTTTATCACTTAGACGGCCTTACTAAGTCATTCCTCTAAGACCATTACTATAAAACTTCCCTAAGACCGCTTTGAGTATTGAAATGCAAACAAGCACTCCCTGGTAACGTAAGATTTGGGGCGACGTCATGCATGCTCGACGCACGCAAATGTATCGAAATAAACGTTAAATAAACGTAGACCTACAGTATTTTCACAGACGCTGAGAAGCGTGCGGAATATTCGTCGTTCGATTCTCCAACCTTGATGATCTAGGCCTAGGTCTTTCCATTGCACTGTTGAATTAATCAGCAGAACGCCATGATGAAAATGATTTAAGACCGTTTTAAGCCCCCTCCGAGTAGGCTTTAAAATTAGACGGCTAACTGGTTAGACCGCGGTATAGCAATGGTTAATCATAGACCAGTAGTGACGTCACGATTATAGCCGGCTAAAGACCGCAATCCGCCCCAGGTCATTGGATTAGGCACATGTGGACCACATACTCAGTCTCCCTGAGTATTTCTCAATCATTGATGGCCATACTTTTATTAAAATAGAAAAGCATTTCCCAACACTATGGAAACAGACAATACTACAAAATCCTGATTAAACATGTAAATCTATATTGACTCTTATAAACTAAAAATTCTTTCTCATCTTTAGCCGACATCCAGCATATGCAAATCTCTACCGTCACTCTGGTTTTGAAAACAACCTTTGTTATGGTGACATAACCCTAGGCTTCCATCACAGCCCGTTAGAAGGACAAGAATTCACCTTGGAAGAAATAAATGCAAAAATGGACGAATTAAGGTCACACCGTCTTGAGTCACAGAATGATCTCAGGCAACAACCAAAAGTTAAAAAACGGACAAGACAAGATGAATTGAGGTGACAGAACATGTTGAATTTGATCATTTTTTAAGATGAAATTTTTTAAACAATAGTTAGCAATGAAAACAAGAGACCTTTTCAGAACTAAGCACTGTAAGCAATTATTGACAAAGATTGGTATTTATATGTTATGTGAAAGTTCCATAGGAGTATGTCGATAAGTGCACTACAAAAAATGTGGGAGAAAAAAAATCTGACAAATATTTACCTGTGAGACCATGCTTAAAGATTCCCTGCAAAATTTCACTAAAAAAGAATTTTTTTTTAGAAAAAGTGCATATGCATTACTCTAATTATAGAAAAATATTGGCATAAATTTTAGTTTTAAAAGAATAAAAAAAATGAAAAATACAGACTATTTCTCATACGAGATTACCATTCTCTCAACAAATTCTTGGTTACTAGTAAAATTCAGAGGTTGTAGATCGCATCCGCTGGAATTATCTCGTTTTTATGTATACTTTATACAGTCAATAAAGTGCACACTCTCTAATGAAATTAGTTTTTGTACTTCGCATCTCGCACACTGCGGTCGATCGAGTAGGCATCAGATGTGTTTGTTTAATTGTCAAAATCTCGGTCAGAATCATTTTTTTAACAGATTTTAAATAATGCCTATGAAATATTATATTTTACAAGTGTCAATACTAGCAACAGAAAATATCATGTTGGCCATTTTTATGTGTGATAACAGAACCTAATTCGAGGTAAGGCTAGGCCTAGCCTAGCAGTGTTGGATAGGGTAATGTTTCCGGCGCCTACTATATTTCTTTGCATTCTTATCGCAAAGTCAAACATAGGAAAAAATTCATCCACATTTATTTTTTGTGTGGAACACTAATGAAATCTAATTTCAGTTTTATATTACGTTTTTTGCATGTTTAGAAATGTCTGTTAAACTAGCAATTTCGTATTGTATTTATAAATCTTTATAAATATATAGAAATAAGATTTTTCTTAACAACTGAAATTTTGTTGGGAATTGGGCTTTAAGTTCAGTCCACACATCAACTTTTGTGTGACAAAAAAATGTGATATGACATCATCATGCCCATATATGGGCACATCACACAAATTTGTCACATAAAATTTGATAGTGTGGACAGAGCCTAACAGAAAAAGTTTGTTCGGATTATATCTGATAGTGTATACATGTATCAGGCATATCTGATCAAACAAATTGTGTCAGCCAGTGATGAACTTTGAACTGGATAAAATTTAAACTGCTATAAAGCTGGGCATATGCCATCAGATTTTTGTCTGCCAGATTCAGAAAAATGTTATCAGACTTTGATAGTGTATGCTTGTACCAGATATATCTAATCAAACAAATCCTGTCTTTCCATGTGAAAAGTCTCTAGATTTTATTATTTGCAATAGTGCTTCTTGCAATGTGGTTATTCAGTGCTTTTGCTGCACCTTTTCTTTCTGTCTCTTCAGCTTAACTTCAACTAAACGACATGTTTTTGTGGGTACGCAGTTTGCTGCACAAACGCGATGTGGCTTTTGCATTAAAAAGGTAGGCCCTATGCCTCAATACATTTAGTTTAAGTAAAATATTGAATGTATTGTTTTAATTTTATTTTTATTATTGTATTTTTGTTTTCATTATTGCGGCTGATTATGCTTTTTTAGCGGATCATTATTTTGATGCTTGTGTGTGCTTCTGCTTTACATTATTACTCTGTATTGCATTGAAACATCTACGGAACACATTATCCCCTGGCAAGGGCGGATCCAGGTATGTCGGAAATGAGGGTGGTGATCAACAACACTACCCAGGGAAGTTCTGGGAAATTTAACCTCCGAGGCATTTTGGGTGATCAATAATAATTTATTAATTTTCTTTCTTTCTTTTTTTTACATTCAAAAAGAGGGGATCGGGAAGTCAGCCGGCCTTCCCTCCCCCTCCCCTACTAAATCCACTCCTTCTGCTTACCAGACACCCACTTACTGTATACTTCTGGGTGGAGAGAAAGAAAGTTGATCAAATGAAATGTTTAGCTTAAGATTTGAACACTTGACTTTTTAACTTGAGGCCTAAAGCTTTACCTCTGTTCCACATTTTTTCACAACATGTTGTTTACATCACTATTATTAGTGTTTCATTTATTTTTTTCAGGTCTGGATAAAATATGCTTACCAGTGTAAGGTTTGTAAACTGATATGTCACAAGAAATGCTCCGAGAAAACCCAAGCACAATTCCATGTGATATGTGAGTGCGCCTCCTATTGTTATCATTTTCATTATGGTTCACTTTCATAACTTGATGATTATAATATGGGATCGTTGTTCCTATATAATGAATTGTCCAAATTTTTCCTATTATTCATTCATTCATTCACTTTATTTATATATAAAGTTATACTTAACAATATAATTGTAACTACAATTGTAATGTCCTCCACTGGACACCATCCCAGTACTTCTGAGTCTACAGTATGTTTCGGGGCTTGGATATAAAAGTACTTTATTTTATTTTTGTATGGTATTTGATTTACATAAAGTAGGCCTACATCTTCAGCTTTCAGATACTAAGAGAATGATGGGGAACTGATATGTATACAATGTGGTTGCATGTTGGCAAATTTTCAAACATTATTTACTATTCAATTTTAGTAACTGAATATATTTTAGAATATCTCTACGACAATTAAACATAACTAAGTGTACATCATTTTCTTTTCACAATTTTTTAATTTTTTGGGGGGTTTTCATGAATTAGAGCAGTGTGACGAACGTTCTATTTGAGATAAATATTTGCGCTGTATAAATCCCCATTATTATTTGTATTATTATTTAACCTTTTTTTTTTTGTTTGTTGTGCAAAATGCACAGATTATTTGAATAATGGTAATATTATAGAAATTAACAATAATATGAAATGATAATAAAAACTGTAATAAAGGTAAAAAATAGAAGGAAAACATTTCTTGTCTTCTTCGACCTTAAAAAAAATTAGAAGAAATATGAATAAACATATATAATGTATATGTATAAATACATTACACCTAAAAAATTAAATTGAAAAATAAATAATAAATCAAAAAATAAATAAATAATAAATAAATAGAAAATAAATAAATAAAAGAATAAGTAAATAATTAAATATATGAAATAATAAACATATTAAAAAACATGAAATATCAATATTCATTACCTTTAGACTCCTAGGGCGTCCCAAATCCGAACATCCATCCCCAGCTCGCGACATCCAACTCAAAGTTCCAGCGTCGATCACGCCTATGCCATCACCAGACCTCACCCAACTCCTCCCCTCCTGGTTCAACACTTAACTCACTCCGACATCAGAAGATGAGGAGGACATTGATGAGCTTGTTCGCAGTATCCATAAATTGAAGGGGGAGCTACGGAAATTGATTGATCCGGGAGGAACAATGGCGGATACGGATGCTATGTTCATGTCTGCAGCACGAGAGGTAATGAGTGGACATCTTAGAAAGCGTTTATGTTTCACATGTTTCACTTAAATATGAATGTTTTCTTATGTTTTCTTACATTTTGTTTATTTTATTTATTTCAATATACACACATTTTAATATAATGTACAATAGAACCTCCTATTAAAGGGCAATTTTTTGGGCACTGAACAAGGGAAAGTATATCTTTATAAGGCCACCCCTATTTAGAGGACACCCCTACATAAGGGGACACTTTCTTTGGTTCCGAAAGTGTCCCCTTAATAAGACTTATAAAAGTATGGATATCAAGTAATTTTATTGATATTATTTAGAATTATGTAGTTGATTTTGCCCAGGATAGCAAAAAAAAGTAAACAGGTTTATTTTACTTGGGGTCCTGAAAAAATTTAACCCTCAGGAATTCAAATAAAAAGCCTTAGCTCAGCTATTTATAGCACTGAAATAATTATCTTGGAGTTGGTTCCCACACCATCCCATATTTTCTTTTTGTATCCGATAATGTTGAATTTGATGCAGTACTTGTGTTACGTAGAGTATAGGTATGTGGTGCATGTGGTTTCATGTTTGTCTATTGTTTTCTATTCTTGTATTGTAAATTTGCATTCACATTTTTACTTTACTATAATCCCTATGTTTCATTATTTGTTGTTCTTTGCAATATTTATATTATTGTGTATTGATGATGGTGCTAATAACAGATTCTTTGAAAAAAATAATATTATGATCACTAATTTATATAATTACATCAGTTTAACTTAAAAATTGTTTTTGTACTACATTACAAAATACAATTTAGAAAAATAGAAACACCAATATAAAATACAAAAGGAAATATAAATATTGGAATCAGTCTGCTGGACTCGACCCCAGTATTTCTCATTCTCTTTGGTACATGTCAAAATAAATTAAGTAATCTATTCTGTACTCAAGAGCCCTGCTTCTCAGACTATGGGTCGTGACCCAAATTTGGATAGCCAAAACATTTCTGAGGTTCTCATGACTTAATAAGAATATGACTTGAAAAAAGTGAAAACACTTCTACATAAACGTCTTACAAAGGACTCGACTCAAGTTATACACCCAGACGTAGCTACGAAGACGAAAGCTATAAATTACATTGTCAACCTAAAACCTAGCATCTACTCCTATGGTTCCACTGTCTAATCTCTCCAAGGATTGATAAGATCATTAAATTTAGGGAGGAACATACGGTAGTTCACATTAACAATTAATAAAGTTCGTTTGAGCCTTTTGGTGAGAAGTTGGTGATGCACAAGCTTAATTTTTCAATTATTATTTAATTCAACTTCACCCAAGTTGACTGTATACAATTCAAAATTTCGTCATTGTTCTATTGTTTTATAATAACATTTAAATTTACCAGCGTAGTAAATAATATTCTTTATACTATGACATTCCACACACGATCGATGATAACAAAATGCCTCATTTACTCACTCGGCTGAGTAAATAAAAATCAAAAGGATTTATCGCAGCTACTTTCTTACTTATATTAGCCGACGTTGACTGTAGAAATACAACAGCATATCTTTACTTATAAATTATGAGGCAAGTACTATGGCTATCAAATTATACTGGCATGGATTTCTAAAAAACAAGACAATTATGTCAGAAAATAATAGGCCTAAGTAATCATATAATCACAATAGCATTGTGGTATGACAATGCCTTGAATCGCCAAAAGAATAGGGAATCTGAAAATGGGTCACCACCTCAAAAATTTCGAGAAGCAGGGCTTTAGAGGGCGTGTTTCATACACCTATATTTAACATCAAGACCAAATATAAATTGTAACAACAGTGACCTGCATCCATGTGGGCAGTGCATTCATAAGATAAAACACACCTACAGTGTATTAAAAATAAAATCAACCCAAATATGGGCAAATTATATATTTGTCACATAAAACTTGATGATATACTTGGATTAAGCTTAAAATTATTAGCACTCACAATTAATTTTATTTCAGATGGGAAGAGAATTATACATCGATCTCTCCATAAACGAACGCAAAGAAAAGTTGGAACTCATGGTAAATTTACGATATTTAATTATAGATTTTATTATTCATATTATTATTTAGATTATATTTTCATATGCAAAAGAGTCTCATTGATATGTTTAAAATATTAAATTGTTAAACAAGCAGAAGGATAATTTTGAAACCATGAAGTTAATTTTTTATTCATAATTCAAAGTATTCCATAGTATAAAAACAACAAACAATACCCATTAAGATTGTAGTGATATAAAGGTAAGGGTAGAGGTGAAGGTAGAAGAATAACCCATAACTTGCAGTGTCATTGTGTTGAATTGCATATGGGCGTTGTCCGTGACTACCTAGCAGCCATAAAGTGACGCTTCATGGTAGCTACATGTTCACATCATTCCATAACGACAGGGGCTGAAATGAACCATAGTTTCGGGGTAACTTCCTACTCTTCCAAAAGATGCAATAGGTTCTTTAAAGTGCACACGAGCCAGATGTATACGCTGGACCTCCATTTTAAGTCCTTATCTGAGAAGACTTGGTTCTACCACCCGAACCATGGGCGAGGAGCGCCTGGAAAATGCGCTGATGTTAAGGCTGTAGCGGCGCCCCTGCCTTACCACATGGTCACTTCACTTAATGCAGGTCTCCCTCCAATTAAAGACCACTTTTGGGATCAGGGTTTCCATGGTTTTAAGCGGCTTTGGTCTCTAATTAGAATAATAAAGATAAAAAACATTTGTTAATTTGGGACCACAAAAGTGTTCTTTAATTGGATATAATCTTTAATTAGTGTATAATATTGATCTAAATGATGCTGATTTTGATTATCAGATTTCCAAACTTCAACAAGAGATAGATCGTGAAGCCGAGAAGCGGGCCCACCTTGCCCAGGACCAGCACAATGCCAAACAGGCCAGTCACGAAGCCAGCGCTGCCGGTAAGATCTTAAAAAGTGAACAACGAATGGAGGACTTATAACTTCTTATGATTCATTATTGTGCCGGTATGCAGCACTGCAATGAAGCAAAATCCAAAGATTGAGGCCCCTGATAAAAACGTATACCACAACCATTTGTTGGTTACCTTACCTTGGTTAATTAGAGACCAACCAGTTTTATCCTGGTAGAGAGGGTAGCTTAACATAAGGACTTTTCTTCCATTTTCTTGAAGCCTACTCAACTGTATCAACTGCTACATGTTCCCTAAATCAGCATGACTTTAGTTTTTTAAATCCATTAAGATATCAACCAAACACAATGTGCCCTTAATCAGCATTACTATTCTAAACCTATCAATATCATCCAATAGGGAAATGTGCCCTGAATCAGTATAATTCTTAGTGTGATTTTAAATGTTATCCAAGTTTTAATTTAATGTTTTGTAATCATATTTGTTGGTACCAATCTTAGACTACTCCTGTAGTATATATTAATAAGACTGATTCTTCCTAAACCTAAAAATTTGTTCCTTTTAATTCAACTTCATTTGTTTCAATTAAATATTCTGTCTATTGAGCTGAAAAAAAACCTGGGAAAAAATCTAATATTGATTCATTTAATGTATTATGTTTTTTAACCTTCAATTGAAAATTAAAACAAAAGAAAATAAATTTTCCTTGTTAATTAATCTACATATATATTCAATAACATTCCTATATCAGTAGTGGATTTGGGAGGAGTGGCAAGAAATTGCACTCTCAAAAACAAATAAATTAATTGATTCACGAAAAAGTTATTTAACTCATTTTTTTCTTATGTACTTTGTATGTGGTCAGTAATCTTTTGCATGTCAGTAGTGGATTTTGGGGAGGTGGAATGAAACAAATTAACCATTTCAGGAAAAGTTATTCAACTCATTTTATTTCTTGTGTAGTTTTTGTATGTAGTCAGTAAAGATCGGTTGCATGATATATATACTGAAAATCTAATGAAAATGTGAATCATGTGATTTTTAATAATTACTCTCAATATTTGCAATATAATTTAAGGTGCAATCATTAATAATATATTGTTATCTATCAGGAAGTCACAATGTAAAGAAGGGGTTATAAAAAATAAGAAAAGTTAAAGAAAATTATATTGTGAAAATTTCAAGTTATTGTAATATATTAAAGGTTTAGAAGTAATAAGAATAGAAATGTTTGTGGATGTATAGAAATGAATTCAACTAGGTTAATGTGGGGGTAGGGGAGGAGATGAGTCTGAATGAAAGGAAATTAATGTGATTCAGAAAGGAGTTGAATCATACTGGGAAGATGATGATTCTGATTTGGAAGAGATGTCAGTTTCATCACGTTTACAGGTTGTTGTTGTTTTGTATTTATATTATATTTCATATATTTTTATTATTTACCTAATTCCATATTAATGGTATGTCTTTTGAGACTTTCAAGTTAAAAGAAAATGTGTGATTTGCCCATATATGGGCATGCTACTGCCATATGACTTCCATATATTGGCAGGATGATTTCATATCACTTCCAAATATGGGCATGCTGCTGTCATGTTGCTTCCATGTGCAGGATGATGTCATATAACTTCCAAATATGGGCATGCTTTTGCCATGTTACACACACAGATGGACAGGATGATGTCACATGACTTCCAAATATGGGCAGATCACAGGTATTTGTCACATAAAACATGATTTTGTGGACAAAGTTTTAGCAACTATTCTTGTAAGACACATTTATCATTTGTCAGTTTCAATGATTTGTTAATAGTTACCAGACAATTTGCAAAATATAGTTTCAAAAAAATATCTTCCACCAGAGGTTTATGTAATGTGAAATAATTATGCAATCATATAGAATAAATGATCATATTTTTATTTATTTATGATTTTTGCAACTTTATGTTGTTTATGTTTTATTCAAGTTTGGCTATTCTTTGCAATTCAGTGTTTCTATGTCCTTTAATGCAATGTATATTAATAAACTGTTGAGCACCATTTCTTGAATGTTGCCTTTAATATAGATGTATACATAGTACTGTGATTCATATCTATGGTCAAAAGTCATGTAGCCTTTTACAATTACTGTAATATATCTCTCTGAATGTGGTGAAATATTTAGTATAATTACAAGAACGTTTGAAATGGTAAATTAGAATTTATTCATTTTGGTTGTTTTTAACACATAACCCACTCTTAGTTTTTATTATACAGTATAACCTAATAATTATAAGAAATGACAAATCTCAGCACTTTAAAAGCTAACTATAAAATTGATTGGCTCTAGCTTTCGTCCACACAGTGGACTTCATTAGCTATAGTATTAAAGCTAGTGCACTTTGAATTTCCAGTATGATGTAAAATCAAGCTATATACAGTAGTTGTGTGGGTTAACATCCTCGCATTATTTGTTAAGATGGTTGTATGCTACTTTTGTGATTTATAAATTTTAAATATTTTTGTTTATAAATTTATTTTTTTCCCAGTGAAAAGTAAAGTATGATTATCTGTATGTTGGACAATGTTTATGAAAGCAATACAAACGTCTGATCTTGATAATAAAATATTTAATATTCGATTAAATGCTTGTTGACTGTACTTGTTTTTTCATTCTTGTTTTAGTTATATCGTTCTTGCACTGCAAGCACTGAGTTGACACAATGTTGACAATAAAATATTATAAAGAACAAAAGAAACATAATACAAAATTCCAACTGTGAAATAAACTAAACAGTAACAGGCACAATTTATATTTACAAGAGTTGATAGTTATTGAAATTTCATACAAAGATTTTTATCAAAATATTACAAGGGACGGGGTGTGGATAATTAATTATTTTTTAAATATGATTCTATCAAAGATAATAATTACAACTCGAAATTAACATTATTATTATTTATTTATTAATACATTTTTAATGTTTAAATTCAACGAGGTGACGGTATGGCTGTCCAAAGAACGTCAGCCAACATCGGAAGGATTAAGACGAAAATGACTAATTGAATAAAATAGAAAAAATATAATTTTGTAGATTTTTATTTTTCTTGTCGATTCCTAATATATATAACTATAATATATGTGAAATTCATCCAAGTAGGTTTTGTATTTTTGGCACAACAAAATAAAAGATAACCAGCATTCGAATTTCCAATGCATTCTCATATAACTCGTGAATATTTCTGCCTACCAGGGTAGGGCGCCGCCAGTGTTTCAGATAGGCAAATGTAAACATTGCATGGGCACAAAAAATAATGACAATAAAATAATACGTCATCTTCTGTGTAGTGAAGTAAAATATAGGCCTATTCATACATAAGTTCGATGATTCACAAATACCATGAACAATTAAATGTCAAATATAATATGCGTGCCCACAGTTTATTTACTTATAAGAATATACTATTTAAAAGGACAACTCATGTACTGCATCGTACAATGGCTTAGGCCTAGTAGGCCTAAGTAAATATCTGACAAATAAAAATATACGTCATGATTAAAGGATAAGAGTTCTTTCACGTGGGGAAAAGCCAAAATGTGACAATTAAAAGATAATTCACGTGCTAGCAGCGAGCAGATATAAAATATTGCCAAATACAGTTCCGTACTTGCGCGAATAATGTTTTGGTTTGTAAAATTATTTTTTTATCGTTTTATACAAATGTGTGTAAAAATTAAATGTAATCATATATGTGACATTTTACATGATATAATAAAAATGATAATAATTATTTTTATTACTCACACACACGTACACACACAGACATGCGGTATTGCATACCCTTCGCCTTTCTTTCGGAGAGGCGAGGGCACGTGGCAAATAATAAGAACAACATACATCGAGCAATAAAATATTCGGTTGAATTCACACTCAATAGCATATAAAATCGAATTAAAAGTTAATAATTTGTTCCACTCAATGATTAATGAAGATTAATTTCTATGTAGTTCTGTTGTTTAATTTATTTCCTTTTCGTCGTGTTACTAGTACGATATTCCATGTAGTAAGCGTGTTATTGGCCTATTACATTTTAATTATGCAAATCTTAGGCTTGAAAACAGTTTCAATTTCATAAATCATTAGGCTGGTAGGTTTTATTTTCATACCAATTTTAAGACTGAAGCCGAAACGATTTCGAGATGGTATTGTGCTTCGCTAATGCTACGTGGCACCATTTTAACATTTAACAACTAAGTATTAGATCATCTTAGCGATTGTGTATAAAGTATGAACTTGTTACTGAATGTTTATTAGAACAAGATACGTTTGAATTTTAAAATACTAACTTCATTATGGGTATGATAGTGTGCAAGTGGATCTTGCTTTTTATTTCGCTACTTACGTATTGTCCAGTGGGCAAAGCTATACATCGTAAGTTCAACTTCTTTTTAATATAATTATCACGATTACTATCATAAGTTTTTTTTTTAGATTATCATCACTGATTATTATCATCATCACTGATAACTATCATCATCACTTTTATCGCAAATGTAGTCATCATCACTGATCTATCATCATCACTTTTATCGCAATTGTAGTCATCATCATCATCATCATCATCATCATCTCATTATCATCATTAGTAAAGCATAAACATCATCATTATTATTATGCAGAAACTCTTATTTTGGTGTAAGCTTATTTGACTAGGACACAGTAACTTCCTTCATGAAAATATAAAAGAATGAGTTGACTTACGCTAAATTTCAAGTGTTTGAAATAGTTCTTTTTAGAGTATGTGCGATGCAGAAGCTCAACGTTGTGTATAGTTCTTCAAAATCAATCTTTTTTAAAACCCAAAACTCCAATTTGAGAGTATGCGTCTATAATACGATGTTAGAATATTTAAATAAGCAACTTATTTACAATAGTTTTGTAGGCTTAAGGCCTACAATATGACGATTACGATCAACGACAAAAAGCTAAAGAGCTATTGTTCACATAGAAAAAAGAATTAAGTTTCACATTAGCACGATTGATCATGTATACGATAAAAAAAATAAATTCACAAATCAAATCAAATAACGTCATAATCATTGGAAAACGATAAATTATAGTAGTAAATACGATTTTATTGTTTACCTATGA